GATCAGTGGAGCACATCGAAAAGTGATTGATCAACAATTGAACAATCAGATAAGTTCTTGATGGAGACTTTCGAAAACGACATTTTGAACTCCAGAATATCGTTTTCGAAAATCTCACCTGATTGGTCAATTATTTACAAAAAGAATTCCGACGTACTTCTTTAGTGTCAGATCTTCACTCTTAAATGGTGAAAACTGCAGCTCTCTATAAGGATTTTATCAAAATTTATTCAAAAAAAAATGAAGCATATTATATTTTGAAATGGACAGTAGAGTGTTTAGGGTGTGCACTTTTTTTTTTTGTGTTTTAACACACACCATACAGTTAGTTTTTATCAGAATTCACAAAAAAGGCCGTATCAAATAGAAAATCTGCATGTGTTCGAAGAGACGCTCTGTACACTGACGAAAGAATGGTTTTATACAGAACTTGAAAAGCATTTGGAATTAAATGTAATACCCATAACTTTTTTTTGCCAATGTATTTCCATTTTGTTATTCGAACAGAAGAGAAAAAGCAGGCACTTCAAACAGTGTCTAGTACTGTACTGAAAATTTCAACCTTATCAGACGTATATGTATATTAATTAAGACATCGGGTTAATTTTTAGCCTTTGTTACCGTGACAACTTCTAGAAGGAAGCATTTTGGAATTTTGAATCTATGATGACTTAGACTCTTGTATTGAGATCAATCTACCTTGACACTTTCACAATTTTTTGATCAATCGTTCTCCACAAATGATGAAAAGGTTGAAGTCCTCTTCAGGCATTGTATACTAAATGTGATTAATCAAGTGTGTGTATGGCTTAAGTCTTCTATGCTTTTTGAGTAATGCATCTTATACTTAGAGTGTTTTAAATACTTGAAACATTTTCTTTCGACTTGGAGAAATAGTTTATTAATCAGATTACCATGGATTCTGTTTATTGACATGTTTAGTGAATATATAAAATTTCATAACAAAAACAAACAATAAAGTAAGCAACATCTGACCCCTGCGCTGCTATGATTCATAAATGATTGGAGCCGTATCAACATTTATATAAAACGTCTGAAAAATATTTTTTCTATTTTGAATTTTCTAAAAACATATTGCAGAACAACAATAACGAAAATATTGTATCAATTAATTGTACTCTGTATTAGTGACAGAAAGAAAACCTATGTTAATTCTTACATTATTATTCAAAAAGAAATGAAATATTCTATGCATTCTTGAACACATCGTGTGCCATTTTATGAATAGTCATAAAAATGATTCATCACATCATACATATGTATATATAAACTCATTCATTCTTTCAATCGGATCAGTGGTTTTTCTCTGATAAAAGCACTTATTCATACCTCCTCTTTCATCATTGGCTTATACTACTTCAAACTTTGCTGGTTTATTCGTTCGTTCTCACTCCATTATACTATAGTTATAAAAAAAAATGCTTTAGAATTTCTCTTCCATTCGTTTTGTTCCATCGCTTTCAGTATATATCGTATACGATACTTTTATATTTTCTTGATCAGCAATGGTGTCATATTCAACTGTATGCATCTTACTATTACTATTTGTTATCAATGTTGATAATCGAACACTTTCTCAAAGATATCGACTTCGTGAACTATGGAATATAATAACAGACAAATTTAAAGATACAGCAACTAAAAAATTTCATATTGATTTTCGTCATTTTGATAAAGAAGAAATGCTTCTTTTTCCTGATATAGGATATCAATCATTGAATAATGATAGCATATGGAAAATAATGATGCATGGTTGGCGATATGAACGTAATAGAAGAAGAGATTGGTTTGGATTTAGTGCAAGTCTATGGGTAGAACGAATTGCTAAACAATTATTGGATGAAAAAGATATATTATATCTCAATGGATCCATTAATCGTGATCGACTTAAACCATTTTTTGTTGAAGATGAATCAAATGAAAAAATACATATAAAATTTGATGAAAAAATCTTTTCATTTCTAACAGACAGTCAAGGACAATTTAATGAAGAAATTGAAATATCAAATGATGAAATACAAAAATTAAAGCAACAACAAGGAGGTAGTAGTTTTATAACATATGAAGCTATTGGTGATAATAAAGATAAAACAACAGGAATTATTCAACTTATTGAACCACGTAAAGGTATTTCTGTTATTAGTGATGTTGATGATACAATTAAAATATCCGAAGTATTGGATAAAGTACGATTACTTGCAAATACTTTCATATATCCATTCAAACCTGTACCAGGTAAACATAATCAATAAAAGCCAATATAATAAGATCATTTTTCTTTTTCTCGTTCTCTTAGGCATGGCTGAATTATATCAAAAATGGCGTATAAACAATAATAATTGTACGTTTCATTATTTATCCGGTATGCCCGATCAATTATATATATTAACCCATGAATTTATTTATGAGAATAAATTTCCTGATGGAACATTTCATATGAGACATTTTGGTTGGGCAGCAACATCTATTTTTGGTTTTCTTCATTCACAATCGACATTTATTCATAAAATAGCCTATTTACGATATTTTCTTTCAAATACAATGCGTGATTACGTATTAGTTGGTGACAGTGGAGAAAAAGATCCAGAAATTTATGGAACAGTTGCAAAAGAATATCCGGAACGTGTTCGAGCTATTTTTATTCGAGCAATTAAAGGTGAAGCTTTTGAAGATCAACGTTTTTTTGATGCTTTCGAAGGAGTACCACGAGAAAAATGGCTAGTATTCAATGATCCACAACAATTACCTATCGATTTATCACGATCACCAAAAGCAACGATGGGTTAGAAAATAAGAATTTTGCCAAAAAAAATTATCCGTATAAAAATTAACTCATAAATATTGTCTTATCTGTTGGATTAAGTCGTACAAATTTTGTTCATTACAAATTAATAATGTGCAAAGTTGAGACTGTCTTTTTTGAATACTTCTTTATTTTAATAATCTTGCTTTGAATTCTGAAATAAGAACTGTATCTATCAATTCATCCTAATTTAAAAAAATTGTTCAGATTTTAATTCTTCACTCAAAATGAAGACAAAGGTTAAAATTTCTGAGGATGATTTTGAGAACGCACCATTTTGTTTGCGCGATTTGTTTTTACAAGAATCAATCTTTATCAAGTAATTAGCTGAAAACGCAATACTCAGTTTGTTCTTCTGTGCTCTATATTTGTTCTGTCTATACACATTTCATATTGATTAGCGTTTGGCGCAAAATACTATGTGTTCAGACAAAAGCAACCTCGTGCCTCGATAATTTGCATGAAAATTCGCTTATTCTAATCCTGAACGAAGGTAAATACGATCTTCGGATCACAGACCAGTCGCAAGGACGAAAACATGTGCTGAGTAAGAACTTTCTTGTTCGGCATCGGAGCGACATTTTCATATAAACTAATAAAATACAAACAGTTGTACATCATCATATTAATGTCAAAAGTATATACGATACATCAATTCAATCGTGTCACATAATTGACAGAAGAAATCTTGGCGAAAAACAAGACCAAGAGAATCATGTACGTGAAAAAGTGTTAGTTTTTTATAGTAATGCGATAAATTGTTTAGTATAATAGTTATTCATCGATGGATTCTCATATTTAACTTTGTAGGTTTCAATCAATAAAGTTTATTTTTCATGTAATTTTATATGCACAATTGTTGATGATGCTCATCAGATATAAAAATATAATTATTTTGCCTTTACTAAGAAACAGATCTTTGTGTTACCTTTTTTGATGTAAATCTGTTTGTTACAGTGTCTTTGCATAGATTTGATGACAATTACTAGTGTCATTTATTCATCATGCCAATCGAATAGACTCATTGACGACTTGTTCATTAACTTTCCAGAGAAAAAGAGAAACTACCACGAGACACATATTTGGTTATTATTGGGTATTATATAAAAGTTCTTGCTTTTTTTTATGTAAATCTCATTTGCTCCTTATATAATATGACACCGATTTTGGTATTAATGAATCAGCAACAAAATTACTTGTTATGAATATAGATAAAAAAATAAAGAGAGTATTTATAATGTGCTTTTCATCTTTTCTTTTTCATATATGATTTATATTCAGGATTTGACGAAATGTCATTTATACTCGACACAATGATTATGTCATTCATGTTGAGCAAAAAAAGGAATAAGATATACGTCTGTATTAATCCATTATCTTGAATGTGAAGTTTATATAATACAGTTTAAAAATGTTCCAACATAAATAAAAAGAACAATATTGTTGTGTATTTTAATTTAATGAAATATATAAAAAAAGAAACTAAGTAATAATGTTGTCGAATTTAACGTGTGAAATGCTGATGTATATTTTTTAGACCATGATATAACGAATGACACTAAAGATAGCAAGGTGCATGCGCATCACTTTTTTTTTTACAAAATAAGTGGAAAACGAAGATATATTAATAGATATCATTCGATTATGATTCAGGTACACTTTAAAATTGATTTAAAACAAAGAAGGCTCGGAAGAGAATCAGTTGATGCTTTATATGAATCATTTTAATGAAAAGATTGAAGAACTCCGAAAGAAAACAAAAACGCTTGTTAGCGCAGCCCATTTGGGGCTGAGATGTGGAACTAACATATCTCCTTTGGTTTCATTATACTAATGACAAAATACTCAACATTTAAAATCTCCAAAAGATAATAGTTCTTTTCTAAAGATAATCGATTATCAGAAAATGCTCTATTTTTATCTCTCAATTTCGAACAGAATTTTGTTTTCACGAAGTTGCCAAGGTCTGTAATGGAGCGAGGTGTCTGTAATGGGAGGTATGTCTGTAATGTTTTCTTTCCCGTTGCTATGTCTCTGTAATGGGGTGAGGGGAGGAGGAAGCCGCCAGCCTCGAACTGAAAACTTAAACTCACTGTTTTCTTCGAAAACATACGTGAGTTCCACAAAATAAGAATGTTTCTATTTGTAAAGTTACACTAAAAGACAACAAAGAAGAATGAAGATATATCAATTAGTAAGAGATACAAGTGGTGTTGTTCATCGATTAGTTCTTGATTCTGAACTTATTTTTTTCAATGGACAAAAATATTCTTCAATTCAACGTATGCTCTATAATTGGTGTTGGTTAAGTTTACCTTATGCATTATTATATATCATTGCTATATTTATTGGTCAAACATGGATGATTAGAAAAAAATGAAAAATTTGAATTACGACAAGCATTAATACTTTGGAAGATTAGTCTTACAATATTTAATTTTTGGGGTGCATATCGATGTGTATCTGAATTTATATATGCTTTAACTCAACATGGATTTATGTATTGAATATATGATTCAACGTTTAAACAAGATATTACTAGATTATGGTGAGTTTTGTTAATTCTAATTTTTATATAATAAAAAAGAAATATAATTCGCAAATGTTAGGGTTTGTTTATTTATGGCTTCGAAAGTACCAGAAACATTAGATACATTATTTATTATATTATGACGACACCAATTGATTTTTCTTCATTGGTATCATCATGCATCAGTGCTTATATATTGCTTTTATAGGTAATTCATTTTTTATCTTTGTTTTTTTCTTTTCAATAATTATAATTAATATAAATTAAGTTATGCATTTTTTGTTTCAACTAGTCGTTGGTTTGTAACAATGAATTATTGTGTTCATACAATCATGTATGGTTATTTTGCATTCCGAGCTGCTCGTATTCGGCTTCCTCGATTTGTTCAAGTATTTATAACTTTACTTCAATTTATTCAAATGATTACTGGCTGTGTAGTAAATGTCATTGCATTTAAATATAAACAAGAAGGATATTCATGTGATACGACGAATACTAATATTGTATTATCATTAGTACTCTATATTTCTTTTTTCATTCTTCTTTCACATTTCTTTTGTATGACTTATTTACGAAAAGACTCAAAGAAAAACATGAAGGATAGAATTGATTAGTTTCTATTTTTTACGCCAAGTTTTGTTTGGGCTTTTCTGTTTTTTTTTTTACTAGAATATGAAATAAATAAGTGAAAATCCGATTGAGTATTAATACCTTACCTCCATAAAGGTTCTAGAAGAATGAGTAATAAAACAACTATTAAAATACGCTATTGTTCTCTTCAGTAGGCCAATAATATAATCTGATTAACAACATGCGCTTCTCTGTGTGTAGGATAATTTGGCAACTGCGATTGCTATTTTATGTCGTACAAGCTCTTGTTCAATTAATTCGTAGGAAAATTTTTAAACGCGTTTTATTCAATAGTAGCGAATTTCGTCGATATTTATCGCGCAGCACTTCATCAAGATAAGTATTTCTCGTAGCTGAGAACACAATTCAAAAAGAAGAAATACATTTTTTAGTAATTTCATAATCATGTCTTTTGCATGTCGTATAGCTTGGAGATAGAGTAAGGATAAAAAAAACCTTTTTACCAATCGGTAGTTCAGACAATTCTCTACATACAATATGTAGTTTTGTGATATCCCGCGTTAAGCATTTTCTGCAATGTTTCAAAAAGTGGCAATTCCATTTGCTAGTGAGGATTAAAAGATGAAAAGTATGTCAATGAGTTTATTTTATCAATACTTACTTAGTTTTCTAATGTCTTATTTATTAATAGCAACGATTAATAATGCTTTTTGTTATTACTGATTAATAATAATAACGTGACAATTCTACCTGATAAATTGCCGATATTTATCCATGTGTTCACTATTATATTGTTTGACCCGACTCGAATTGGTATATATGGTAAATAGCATATATGTACAAAAAAAAAGAAAAGGATAAAGAGTGATTGTTTGTTAAAATGCTAATCGAGGTTTTGGTCATACCTGATTGACTCTCATGATATCGTTAAATAATAAAATCATGATTATAACTATATTACATAAGAAAAAAAAATGTCGACTTCATCACTTTATACATTACCAATAGAACTTATTTATTATTTATTGGAATATCTTGATTTATCAACAATATTATTTTCATTTCGTTATGTATGCAAACGATTTCAAACAATTGTTGACTCTTATGATCAATATAAACTCGATTTGAGATTAATATCAAAAACTGATTTTGATCATATTTGTCATGTTATATCTCCGAAAAAAGTTCTTTCAATTATACTTACTAATGATATAGATACACCATATCAAATTCGTACATTTTTATCAAGATTTTCATTTGAACAATTTTCTCGACTTCAATCATTAGATTTACTTAAAATTGACGAAAATAATTTATTTTCAATATTAAAACATATTTCGAATTGTTCACTTAAATCATTATCAATTGATAGTAAATCATCAGATAAATTTAGTTATACAACACGTTTACTTCTATCATCAACAATAGCAAAATTAAAACTTGAAAAACTCGATTTAAACGTATCTTATAAAGATTTATACGTGATTTCACGGTCACCGTTACCAACTACATTAAAATATCTTCGTCTTGAAAGTTGTACATTTCAAGAATATTATATAATACTTCGTCATGCAACTAATTTACATAAATTGATATTAAAAGAATGTCATATGTATGATTCTGATGGAACTATGTATAAACCATCGGACGTAATCTATCCATCAAAATTAAAATCATTATCATTTGGTACTTGTTATATACGTATGAAAGAACTGTCAATATTACTTTCTTGCACACCAACACTTAATCATATGAAATTAATTTTATGGACTGATTTATGTGATCCAATATTAAATGGTAATCAATGGGAAAATTTTATTGTAAAAAAATTACCATTATTAAATAAATTTGAATTTTTTTTTAATATTTTAAATTATATTAATCGTAATTCATTAATAAATATTCATTCATTTATTAATTCATTTCAAACATCATTTTGGCTTGAAAAAAAACATTGGTATGTTGCTTGTGATTATATGAAAACGTTATTTATTATCAGATTATATTCATTACCTATTTGTAATTCATTATTAACATATTATACAAATTCAAAGAAAATTTCATGTTCAACATTAAATACAACAAGTAATCATATTAAATTCACTGATCATGTTCGTGAATTAAAATTTAATTTAAATCAAACTATTGAAATCAATGATGAAATACAGGTATGAATTTATTATTTGTTAATCTTTACTTCCTTATATTATTTTCTAGAATAATCAATTAAAAGATCCAATATTTAGAAAAATTACTCATCTTTCTTTAAATCTTGATGGAAAGCTTCCATATGTTTCTTTGCAATCCCTTCAAACTATTATCGATTTATCATCTCTGGTTTGTCTTTCAATGCAAATTCTTATTTATAATGTTGCTCAACGTTCATCTGTAACTGTTTATATATCATCAATACTGAAGAAAACATCAAATATTCATTCACTGAAACTAATTTATAATCATACTGGAGAGTCTCTTATTAACATTGAAACTTTATCTTCAATAATTCCTCGTTCTATTAAACATTTACAAATATCAATTACAAATCTTGATGAAATGAAAAATATTCTTGAAAAACTTAAACAATTATCAAGTGTAACATTTTACTCAGTCAATATGTTATATTACTATGAAGATATTATTAAATGGATTAAATTAAAAAGAAAAAATTCTCTATGTCGAAAAGGTTTACGTTGTATGCAAATATGGCTTGGAGCTTGTTCAATGAATGATGATAATGAAAAAAATTCTATGAAAAAAGTTTTTCGTCGAATTCATCATAAACAAATTAGTTATTACTAAATTTTGTATTTTTGTATATATTTAAAAATAAAATATGTTTTCGAAACATAAAATGAATTATTTTTTCTTATGACTGATATCTTGTTACTTATACTCTTTAGTAAGATAGAAAAGTATAGGTATGAAAATTCAACATATGTAAATGAAATTCTTTTTTTTTGTTTTTTAGAAATATTCGTTTTTCTATCATCGAAAAATTGAAAACAAATTTTGTTTATTTAATTAACAAAATGAAAAAACTGAATTTTTCTAAGTAAGATTATTTATTGTTTAAACTGTATAATAGTATAGTAAAGTTTTAATGCACCAGTTATTCGTTATCCTCAAGTTGTATAACAACACAATATTATCTGTGCCATTGTAAAGTAGGTATCAGCATCGGATTATAGTTTGGCTTTCTTTTTTTCATTCGTTCTACTCATTACGTATGTATTTACCACATAATTCTGTTTTTGGTCTTTGCTTTTTTCTTCAATATGAATATTTAATTTTATTCATTACATACGAAAATATTTCATATAATATGAAGCATGATCAAGAATACTAGCTCAATTTTTTTATATCTTCGGCCATATTCTATTAACACTATCAATATTGGTCGATGTCTAACTGTTACATATATGAATGCAATTTACATAATGCACAACATAATATAACTCATTGACATATTTTATGAAAGCGATTATATGCGTCTCAATCAATGTCGCCTTGCTTTTCATGACGCACTTGTTTTCTACTGAAATATAGCAGAAAGGTAAAATAGTCTTTGCAATGTGTATGCAGGAAAGGTTTTATGAAAGTTTATTTCAATTTTCGTGATAAACTATGAATAGTAACGATAGTCAATGGTTATATTTTGATTCTATCGTTGTAGAATAATGAACAAGTTAGATTTAATTCTGGATCGAATAATTATATCGTAGTTTAATATGGTCTGTATTTGATCTAATTCAATCTGAATATGATCTAAGAACGTGAGGAAACATGAATTTCAAGAAAAAATGAATTTACACAACTTTTGTACGATTGCTTTGATATATTTATGAAAAATTTTTGTATTATAGAATATAAAGGAACAAGATCAAGTAATAACTCCAATATAAGAAAATGAGACATTTGAATCCATAAAAATAGAAAAACAGAAGAAGGGTAAATTTTTCATATTTTACCAAATTTATCATCAGTAAGACTATTTCAGTCAGAGATGTTTTATCAGTGTTTTTCTTTATTATTACTGTTCTTGAGATAGTAACAACGATAATATTCTGCTCAAACCGTTTCATGAGCAACTATTCCTGTAAACTGTGTTTTTCAAGATATATTTCGCTTTATATTATGCCCACTATTGATACTATTCATTGATTAATGGTTGGCGATTGATTTGTAAAAGTGATCATCAATCATAAAAAAAAGGAATGAAGTGCGTATTTTAATACATTTTATAATTTGGTTCAAATTTATTCTATGTTAAATATTTTCAAGAAGAAGATAAAGATTATCACTTTTTTATCCTCTCCGATGGCGCTCATCGAACGTGTATTGGACAAGATTGCACTCGGTTTTTAGTAAAAGTGATCAAAGCTAGATTAATACTACTTGCAACTCTGTTTGATAAGGAATCTGAAGTCAATATTAGTGAATTCTTTCAAAGCCCTACAATACAATGCCAAAAAACGTCGGTGTTACCATACATAAATTCTATTTTAGGCATTGAACGTTCTTATTAGTAAAATTCGAATGATTGTGACGTATT